TATTTTGCTAGTTAATCATGCATTTTGATTTTTCAGTTGTGTTAGTAGCTAGCTTTTTGTTCGTATAAAGGGCATTTCTGATGAGGCAGAGCTGTTTATCTTTTGAGTTCTACTCTGTTCCTTTATTCACACTTTTTTTCTCTCCTAGAATGCTCGTTCCTCTTTTTTTTTTTTTTAAAGTTTTATTTGTTTTAGAGGGGGATGGGCAGAGGGAGAGGAGAAGGATCATGCTGGCCCAAGGTGGCACTCAGTCCCAGGTCCCTGAAATCCTGACCCTGAGATCACGACTGAAACCAAGAGTTGGCCACTCACCTGACTGAGCTACCCAGGCACCTCTCACTCTGCACTCTTCTTTGCTTTCCTACCTTACTGGTTTCACCTTCTCAGTCTTTTTTGCTATTTCCCACTTCTGAACTTTTAATGTTGGAAGCCCCAGTTACCTTGGAGATCTCATCCAGTCTCATGACTTCTAATATCATGAATCTCTAATGACTCCTCAATTTATATCTCCAGCCAGAACCATTTCTCACTTCAGACAAATATTTAACTCTTTATTCAACATCTTTGCTTGGATGTCTAATAGGCATTTCAAAAGTAAAAGTTCCAAAGCTGAGCTCCTGAACTTGCCCCACAAACCTGCCCCTCCTAGTATCTTCTACATCTCAGTGAATAGCAACTCTAGTCTCCAAGTTACTTAAGCCACCAACTTGGAAGTGGTTATTCTATGACACATTCTGATTCAGTCTATCAATAAATCCTGTTGGCTCTACCTTCCAAATATTATCTTGGACTCAACTTCTCACCCCTTAACCCTCCCTGCCTGGAAATCTGCAGTAGCCTAACTGGTCTCCCCATCTTTACCCTTCCTTCCTTCCTTCCTTCCTTCCTTCCTTCCTTCCTTCCTTCCTTCCTTCCTTCCCTTCTTTTTTCTTTTTAAGTAAAATCCATGCTGCTCAATGTGGGGCTCAAACTCACAACCTGGAGATCAAGAGTCCATATGCTCTTCCAGTTGAGCCAGCCAGACACCCCTCTGTCTCTACCCTTTCATCTCTTTTCTCACTCCAGTTCATTTTCAACATATCAGAGAGATCCATTTAAAGTGTGTGACAGATCTCTTCTCTATGCAAAATCCCACAATGGCATCCCATTTTCTAAATAGTAAAAGCCAAAGTCTTCCTGGAGGATGTGCCTCTAAGCAGTTCCCTCAGTGTTCAGTCACACTTGCTCCTTACTGATTCTTATACCTGCCAGGATGCTCTTGCCTCGTTGCCTAGGATATCCACAAGGTTTACTCCCTTGTCTCCTTTAGGTTTTGGCTTAAATATCACCTTTGGCTCCTCTCTGACTATTCTATTTTAAATAGCAACCTTCATCTTCATGCTATTTAAATAGCAACACTTCCTATCTCCTTTCTCTGAAGTTTTTCTCCACAGAACTTGTTACCAATGCACTTACCGTTATTTTACTTATTTTGTCTTTCTTTTTCCACTAAAATGTAAGTTTAATAAGACCAGGATTTTTTCTTCCTTTCTTTCTTTTTTAAAGATTTTTTTTACTTATTCACAAGAGACAGACAGTGAGAGAGGCAGAGACACAGGCAGAGCAAGAATCAGGCTCCCCACTAGGAGCCCAATGTGGGACTAGATCCCAGACTCCGGGATCAGGCCCTACCCCGAAAGGCAGACGCTCAATTACTGAGCCACCCAGGCATCCCTGACCAGGAATTTTTCTTTGTTTAATTCCATATCTTCAGTACCTAGGACAATGCCTGCTATATACTAGGCACTTTGCACTTGTTGAAAGAGTGAATGAATGGCTGATTTCTTACTTTGTCTTCAAGACTCCCATCCCCCAAGTCTTCCCTCCCTCCCCCATTCCTTTATTTTGGACTCTCCCTATTTTCAGTTCCTATAATATACTATATTTGTCTTGATCATAGTACTTCCTAGAGCTTTAAAAAGAATCCTTTTTGTATACCTTAGGGTTTAGCACAGTCCCTTGCACACAGAAAATGATTAAATTTTAAAATGAATTATTTGCAACATTTATACCAAATACAGGGCAGTGAGAAGATGTTAGATAGACCTGAGTGAGAAACTTCTCAACTTCCTCTGTTTTTATATGAATTTCCTTCCTTTTTCAAAGAAACCCAGATTTGATTCCGCCCCCACCCCTAGCATGCCAGTAGGTGAATATAATTGCCGAAAAACTTTTGGCCAAATGCTATTTTATAGCTTTCAAATCCTTTTGGAGGAAAATATTGGGATTTTTAAAAATCTTAACTGTTGCATCAGGACCAACCAAGCAAAAAATTTTATCTAAATCTTGATCACAACCCACATACTGCATATCTAGCTTCACCTACTAACTGCTTTGAAGACTAATGATTTACCCTACTCTAATGATTTACTCCCACTGTGAATTGTCAGAGTTTTTGAATTATACCACAATCACTAGCTATTAAATACCTACATGTGGGCAGGTACCTCTCTGTATCGGAATTTTTAACACATATTTTTTGAGCAGTTTTAGGTTCACAGTAAAATTGAGCAGAAAGTACAGTTTCCCATATAACCCCTGTCCCCACACATGCATAGCTCCTCCCATCAAAATAATATTAATCAAATGGAAGCCTGGAGTGAAGAAAGGGAGGACAATTAGACAAATAGCAAACTGGTAGTTCAGTAAAGGGTGGAAAACAGAATAGAAGCATTTATTAATAGCCAGGTGAGAAAAAAACTCAGCCTGAACCTAAAAATAAAAAGATTTGAGCTGGCAAGAGAATGTACATTTCAAGAGATAATAAGATAATAGGATTTAAGAACTGGAAAAAGCCTGATTGAATTTAAATCCTCATCTACTAGACAAAGAAATCAAGGTCTAAGGTATACAGCTAGAGTTGGCATTTCTCAAACGTCTAACAAAGCATATTAGCTGGACTTCAGATGACTTGATAAAGCTATTTATACTCTAGAAAGTGAAGTAAGGCATAGCTTATCTGTTCAGACCTGGATTCTGTATTATTCTGTGTTTTGACTGCTGATTAGAATTCAATTAATGTACTTCTTCTTAAGCTTGGAGTTTCTATTTTGATGGAAAAGACTGGCCTAAGAGTAGAATGCAGTTGCCATATTAGAAGGAATAAGATCAGATGAGGACAAAAGAGAAGCTGCTTGATTTTTCAGGAGCTGACAACAACAACAACTACTGTGAAACTGTCCACAATACCCATTCCCTAACCTTTGTAAACTATTAATTTCAAAGAGACATAAATACAACTTCATTGCAGTTGGGATGGAGGAGGGCAATTTGGAGTATTATAAAAGAGTGAACGTTTTACTCATAGGTTCAATGTAGTAGAAATGGTTTGCCAAGCTTGGATTGTGGTAAGACAAAAAAAGATTTTCTGAAGTAGATCTAAGTTAAAGGCCCTCACTTTGAATGTGTTACTTCTTTGCCATTCTTAGTTTTAGCTTATGTATCTTGTGAGTCAGAAGCTCTTAGGGAATGGGCCCTGTTGAAATTTTGCCAATTTTAGGCACCTTTTAAGTAATGATAAACAGCAATGAGAAGCATCTTTATTTTTTTAAAGATTTATTTATTTGAGAGAGAAAGCACAGGAACGGGGGGGGGGCGGTTTGAGGGGAAGGAGAAACAGGCTCCCCATCTGAGCAGGAAGCCCCACAACTCAGGCAGCTGAGAACGCTGAACCATCTGAGCCATCCAGGCACCTGAGAAATATCTTTAAATGCAGATGAGAGAATAAAATTTCTTTGGTCATTTTTTAAAAAACATTTATTCATGAGAGACACAGGGAGAGAGAGAGAGGCAGAGACACAGGTGGAGGGAGGAACAGGCTCCATGCAGGGAGCCGGATGTGGGACTCGATCCCTGGGGACTCTAGGACCACACCCTGGGCCAAAGGCAGACACTAAACCACTGAGCCACCTAGGGATCCCCTCTATAGTCATTCCTAAAATATTTTGTCCAGGTTTAAAATGAAAATGAATTTTTGTCTAGAAAACCAGGGATTCAGTTCTGTGTTGGTAGGATTTGTGATAGGTAGAGCGTAATGACAAAGATCAGTTTAAAAAGATATTAATGTGGGGTGCCTGGGTGGTTCAGTAAGTTAAGCGTCCCCTTCTGCTCAGGTCATGATTCTCAGGGCCCGGGATCGAGCCTTCAGTTGTTGGGCTCCCTGCTTCTTCTTCTGCCCCTGTCCCTGCTCATGCCCCCTCTTCTCCCCTTTCTCTCTCTCAGATAAATAAAATCTTTAAAAAAATGGATATAATGTTAGGAAGGTGAGAGGAAATTGGCTCTCTCAGATACTCTTGATTAGAATGTAAGTTGGTCCAAATCTTTAGGCTAATAATTTGGCAACATCTACTATTAATACTTAAAAGGTACATACTCTTAGACTTTGCAATTCAGCTTCTGAAAATTCCATCTACAGATACACTCACATTTGTGAAAATGATATATGTGTTAGGATGTTAATTGCAACAATGTTTGTAATATTGAAATCCTTGAAGCAATCTAATGTTCATCAACTGGTGATTGGTTACTTATACATTAAATACACAAAATTGGCACATTATGTTAAAAAGAATAAGGTAGATCTATAAACTGATATGAAAAGCAATTTGAGTGAAAAAGAAACTGCAGATCAGTATATAGACTATGAAAAAAAAGGTGTGTAGTGGGTATAGTTACAGAAAATTGGAATGATATACATCTCCAGGGAATGAGACAGGGTGAAATAGAAAGTGTGACCTTTTACTTTATATACGCTTTTTTTTTTTTTACTTTTGGAAAATCTTTTTTTTTTTAAAAACATAGAATATATACTATTTTCATTAAAACTAAAATGGTAAAGTTATATTTTAATTTAATCTAAAATACATGTATTTTAAAAATACAACACAGTAACCACATCCTCATATTGTGTCATTACAAGGCAAGAAATATATAATACTGGGGGAAAAAAACAAATTTCTTACCGTATAGTCATGTTTCATACACTGTTGGCCCCATTTTGTGGCAGTCAAGTTATACATAAATTAGGTGCTGTTGCATAGCTTCTTTATTGTATTGACCTCCCTGCCTATGACCTAAGCTTCTTTAACAAGTCCTAAAATGACTCTATCCTATGTTATTTCTTTGGGAGTACAAACTGAGGAACATTGTCATTTAGGTTGCTCAACTGGAAGTAGAAATTACATGGCAATCTCCCATGCTTTAAATTTTCATATGGACAACTCTTTCACAGGCATGTAATTATAGTTAAAACAATGGTTCCCCAAGTGCAACCTAATGCTTAAAGTCAGGTGGCTGGCCAACTCTTCAGTAGATTAAGTGAAATATAATGAAAGTGGACAAACTAAATGATTAATAGAATTCCTTTCAGCATAAGTAGACTTTAGATTTTCTACATCATCAAACTTAAGTACTGTGTCAATTTTAAGTTATAGAGGGATATTTAACATTTGACTGCCTGATACTGTGTAATACAAACCAAAAGGCAGGTTTTAATCCCAGTTTAACACTTAAAATTCCCATCAGGCATAACTATCTGCTTCACTGCCTTCAATAATATGCTTAATTTAACTCAGACAAAGGAGAAATACTATTTCCTAGCTTGCTATTTCAATTCACAATTTTGAGAAGTGTTTAATCCATGGTAAACTCTGTGATTGGTATGAAAATTTTTATGACCCTATGGGAAGGCAGGCCTGAAACCACGGAGGAAATTTTAAAAGTTCCTGTGTGTTACTACTGCTGTAAATCTTTCATTATAAAGTTTATAATCTATTCTTTCCTGAGTATTTTATAATAATTTACTATCATGCCATAGATTAAGTCCAACTCTTAGTCCAACCTTTTTTTTTTTTTTTTTTTAAATTTTATTTACTCATGAGAGACAGAGACATAGGCAGAGGGAGAAGTAGGCTTCCTAGACATAGGCAGGGGGAAGCCTGATGCAGGACTTGAACCCAGGACCCCAGGATCACCACTTAAGCCAAAGGCAGATGCTCAATCACTGATCCAGCCAGGCACCCCTTAGTCCTATCTTTTAAGCAGGCCAGGTACTACAAAGAGTTAAAACAATCTGCCTCCAATTCCTCTGTAAATCAAATGGGTAGATAATCACCCAGGCTTATCTTTTGTACACCAAGGTTCCTTTTAGGTATTATTTGGGACAGTAGTAATACTTGGGTATGATGCAGTTGATCTCTTAGGGGGTCTTTTCCCCTTCAGCTGAGCCCTTAAGATTCACTTCCCATTAATTATGATAATCTAACTGCAGATGACAGAGTTGTTTTGTCTGGAGACTTCTGTCTATACCAAACTAATGATCTGGAAATTAAAGGCTTTGGAGTACATTCCCAACCCCTTCATTCATGACCTTTTAGTAATGAAACTAATCTGAGGTCTTAAAATTAACTGCCTCATGGTGAACTGGAAAGGGCAGCACAGTGACTAATGCCACGCTGCTAATCTGGTCTGCCAGGAAAGGTGAGTGGAGAAAACAAGAGTATTGCCTTCTTTCTCGATCGGGGCATATTATAATCTGTTGGTTTTAGGAACTAAAATCCTTTTGCTAGCTCTGAATTACCTAACTGGCACCTCCCATCTAACCTCATCCAAATGGTTATTCTTGAAAGTTATTTCCTTATCCAAAAACTTTACATTGTGACTTTGAGGGTGAAGACTAACAAAAACAAATTGAATAAACTTAAAATGCGAGGAATTGGAGTCAACTGTGTACCTACACACAGACACCTATGCACATATGTGTGTGTCTGTGTACATATATATACACTCACCAACCGTCTTGCGTAGGCAAAAATCCTTGTGTGAGTCCCCCCAAACCTTTACTAATAGCCTACTGTTGATTAACCAGAAACTTGCCAGTAACAGTTAACATAGATATTGCGTGCTGTAGGTATACTGTATTCTTAAAATAAGCTAGAGAAAATAAAATGCTAAGAAAACCATAAGGAAAATATATTTACAGTACAATACTGTATTTATGGAAGAAAATTCACATACAAGAGGACCCATCCAGTTCAAATCTGTGCTCAAGGGTCAACTATACCACATCTATTCATCTGTCCATTGATGGACATGTGGGTTATTTCAACATTTTGGCTGCTGTGAATAATGGTCTATAAATGCCGTGTATAAATATGTCCCTGCATCCAATCCTTTTGGGCATATACTTACAAGTGGAATCTTGGGTCACATAGTAAATCGGGGGAATTCTGACACATACAACAGAGACAAACCCAGAGGACATTGCGCTAAGTCAAATTAGCCAGACATGAAAGAATATATTCATACTGTATGAATCCATTCATGACGAGGTACTTAAAAATGGTAAATTCTGTTGGTATTTTACCACAGTAAGAAAATCTTTTTATTTTTATTTATGATAGTCACAGAGAGAGAGAGAGGAGAGAGAGAAGCAGGCTCCATGCACCGGGAGCCCAATGTGGGATTCGATCCCGGGTCGCCAGGATCGCGCCCTGGGCCAAAGGCAGGCGCCAAAGCGCTGCGCCACCCAGGGATCCCCAAGAAAAATTTTTTTTTGAAAAGCAAGGATCTCCGTTGTAAGCCTCACATCCCTGGTGGGGAGCAACCCTTGGGAGTCGCTACGCCTTTTGCACAGTAGCTTCCAGAGATTCTGCACAACAGGCTCACGGCCGGGAGGTGAGCTTGCGGACATGAAACAAAATCTAGAGTAGTCAACGTGGGTGTAGGGGGGAAACGGATAACGTGAAAAGATATCCCAAACTTTCCACAAGGTTCATTTCCCTCAGGGATCTCCCCACCAGGATTAAGGACGCTTTCGTCACAGGAGATCCCTGAGAGGCTCTTTCCCTTCACAACTCCCTCCCAGCCAAAACTTCCCATAACGTTATAGGAGTTTCTCCCCAGCCCGCCCCGTTCTCACTGCACCCCTCACACCCCGATTCCCTAAGATTCCACCCAAGATGGGGCCTGTCCAAGGACAGACCAACCGCCAGTCGCCAGTCGCTCCGGCCCCGCCCATCAGACGCCAGAACGGGTGGGCGGGAGACTCAGCCCCTAACGCTCCGGAAGTCGCCCCCTCGGGTGGGCGGAGGCTCCCGGGCCCTGCGGCTCCGGATTGGCGGGAAGCGGGGATATGATGCGTTACGCGCGGGATCCGGCCACTCCCCTACGCTCCTGCGCGCGGAGAGCGCGGGGCGGGGCGGAGTGTGTGGCCCCTGGCGGCCATTACCCGGAACAATCCCCGGCCTCGGGTCAGGTGACCCTCGGCGGGGCCGGCGGGAGGGGGGAGGGGGAGGGAAGAGGGCGTGAGGAGGAAAGGGAAGGGAGGAGAGAGGAGAAGGGCGGAGTAGGAGGGAGGGGAAGGGGGCGGGGTGGGAGCGGGTCACGTGATTCGGCATGGAGGCGGTGGCGGCGGCCGGGAGGAGCTGCCGGGGCAGAAGCCGCACTTGTTAGTGTTGGGGGAGGAGGGGGCTGGGGGACGCCGACACCGTCACCCAGGGACGCCGAGTCGTGGGCGGGAGGGGGGGTGGGGGCGAGATCAGGCTCCGACCCCCGGCCGAGGGGATGAGGGGAGCATGGGCGCCAAGGAGTCACGGATCGGATTCCTCAGCTACGAGGAGGCGCTGAGGAGAGGTGAGGGGGGAGGGGTCTGGGCGAGCTGTGGGGGAGGCCAGCGACGGGCTGCCCCGAGGGTGGGTGACCGGGGAAGAGGAGGGGAGGTTGAGGGCGTGGGGCGCCAGAGGCGGATGGGAAAGGAGGCCAGCGACGGGGAATATAATTGGGGGAGAAGGGTCGGGTGGGAGCGGTGTTTGGGAATTGGGACCGTATGGAAGAGGGAGCCGCTTTCCCAGACAGACGGGTATCTGGCGCTGGTTGGGAAATGCCCGTGCTCTTTGGTGGCGTTGTTATGCTGGATGTGTCCAGGGAGGTCTTCCTCTCCCTCCTTTCTTGGGTGGCACCAGCCCTTCCAGCCTCCCTCATCCTTTACTGCCATTTTCTCCTATCACTCCATGAACCCCGACAACATCCTAAGCTTGTCCCCAACAGCCTTGGTCAAGGAAGGGAGAGGGGAGGCGGCTGCACAGCCCTCTGCTCTGTCTGCTGCTGACAGCCCCTTCCAATTGCGAAGTCTCCGCCTTTTCCGAGGGCCTCTGCCAGCCTCTAGGGGGGCTATCATCGTCCACTCTTGCCACCCGCCTCACCCTTTGAGCGACTGACTTTGATAAGAACGACCTCAAATTAAGTTGCATTGGAGGTGAGATGAGACTGGACAGCTGGTGTTGCCACAGGACCTTGTCTTAGATTTCATCTCCTTAGACGTTGGCCAGAGCCTTACATTGCACTTGATCCCCAGTTCTCGCCCCCTCCTCCCGGTAAAATGGCATATTCGGAAACCCAACATTCTGATATTGTGTTATAGCTCCCTTTAGAGACCGGCCTTGCTGCCAGTCCTCGCCTGCTGCTTATTGGCTCTGGTGCACAGTGTTAACAGCCCCAACCCCCTACCAGTTACTCTGATACCGCTGTCCGTGATCACTAAAGCACACGCTAACTGGAAGTGCCTATTGCAGGTTATGGCCGGAATGTGACTTAATTTTTCATGACGGGATTTGATTATGTGTGTATGTATGTATTTCTTTTCGACATTTAATGGATCTTCTCTGTAAGAAGTGAAACATTTAAGCAGGTTGGATGCTTGGCATTATTGTGAACAGGTTTGTAAGTCAAGAAACCAGCCATGCTCCAGGTGATAGTTTCAGTAGCTAAGGATATAAAAATAAAAACTGGATTAAAAGACAGGCATTCAAAATGAGGATTTAGTAAGTGATCTCTTGTTCATATGTAGGAAAAAAGATAAATTCAGAGGGACATCACCGGAAAATAGGTACAGAATTTAGGTGTATTCGTTGTGGCCTGACCAGAATAACAAAAAATATGCTCTTTATATCTTTTTTTTTTTTTTTCTACAGAACAGTGTAATGATTGTTCTTATGGACAATATCACTTGAACTTTTTTCTCAATATAAGAAATATTC